AAAAAAAAAAGTGTAATTTTAAACAGCCCCAAACTAAAAATGTCCCAAGACTACAAAAGTTCATCCTAACACATTTAGTTACTGCAGAGATATTACCATATTATGGCCTAACGAAGAATTTATTATAGTTGTATTTCAGAACATAGAAATGACCTATAATAAAACCTTCATTGTCCTAAATGAGAGATTTTCTCATCTCACATCAACATTAACAAAAGGTACATTGGGGAAGATGGCTTTTTTTTTTTAACTGGTCGGCTTGTAGGCTTTTTATTATAAGAATGGTGCTCCTCTTCGAGAATTATCGATGGGAAGATAATCTTACCCAAGTTATAAGAATACTGATTACAAAACTGTAGTGTATACATCAATCCTAGACTTACCCTTAGAAGCAACTCTGCCAATATACAGCCGACAGCCCACATGTCCACACCTACACCATACATTCTAGCTCCAAATAGTAACTCGGGGGCCCGATACCACCTGAAGAACAAAAAGAAATATTGTAAGTTTTGTTTGTTTATTTATTTATGAATGAGACAGAGAGCATGAACAGGGGAGGGACAGAGACAGAGGAAGACACAGAATCTAAAGCAGGCTCTAGGCCCTGAGCTGTCAGCACAGAGCCTGACACAGGGCTTAAACCCACAGAGCACGAGATCATGACCTGAGCCAAGTCAGACATTTAACCAACTGAACCGCCCAGGTACCCCAAAAATATTTTAATTTTAAAATGAATTTTAAAATAATTTAAAATGAAATTATTAAAGTATTTCTTGGAGAAAAGTCCTCAGCAAAACATCATCCCACTGATGAAATTCATGTTTATAGATATAACTCAAGAAAAACTGGCTGTAAAACCAATCAGTTCCATACTGGAAATTAAACACATCCTTGGTCCATTCACTCTTCCACTCTTAGATGACTGACACCTTCTTTCTCCTGAAACTTTCAATACCATCTTTCCCCTAAGCCTATAATCCTATTTCCAACTTCACTGAAAAAAATTCAAGTAATGGGAAAAAAAAGAATTATTTTTTCAGAAGAAAAAAAATTTTCTACAGATTCACCTACAGTCATTTGTATTCACACAACCTGCCTTTCCATCTGTAACTAGAGCTAAATCATCCCGGACCGGTTTTTTTTTTGTTTTGTTTTGAAATGTTTATTTATTCTTTTTTTTTTTAATGTTTATTTTATTTCTGAGAGAGAGAGAGAGAGAGAGAGAGAGAGAGAGAGAGAGAGAGAGAGAGGCAGAGCACGATCAGGGGAGGGGCAGAGAGAGGGAGGGAGACACAGAATCTGAAGCAGGCTCCAGGATCTGAGCTGTCAGCAGAGCCCGACGAGAGGCTTGAACTCAAGAGCTGTGAGATCATGACCTGAGCCAAAACTGGACGCTCAACCGAATGAACCACCCAGACGCCCCTATTCTGGACTATTTTAAAGCCAGTATCTCAACTGTGGGTACTAGAGACCTTGCTCTCTTATTTTTTTTTCTTCTTTTTTTTAACATTTATTTATTTTTGAGAGAGAGAGAACATGAGTGCGGAGGGGCAGAGAGAGAGGGAGACACAGAATCTGAAGCAG